AGAATTCCCCAGCCAACATAGTTAGGGTTAGGGTTAGTTGGCTGGGGAATTCTGGGAGTTGAAGTCCACACAGCTTAAAACAGCCAAGGTTGAGAAACACTGGTTAAGATGAACACAAAATCTCCTGACCTAGTGTGGGGGGGAGGAGGGGGGGGAGGACTAGATCTCCAGAGCATTCTAAAAGGCAGGCAGGGTTGGGGCCATCTACTGTAAATCTCAGGGAGAATGTTGTTCCATAGGGCAGGCATGACAATAGTCTCCAAAAATGGTCTCCTGGGTGCTGCCAGATGACACTGTTTAAGTGACAGGACCCAGAACAGATCTACTGTGACCCACTGTCACTGGAACCAACATCAGAATATTGCCATGAATCCTTAGTCTCTAACAGGGGATCCTGCTCTCCAAAATGTTAGCTGGCAACTAATGTTCTCCCGCAAGATACAAGTTGCAGTGAGTCAATTTACTTCTCTTCCCATTTCTACTTTTACATTTTTCCAGATGAAAGTTAAGATTCCATGGTTTTTAACTTTCTTGTTTAATTATGTGTGGGAATGGGAGGGGAAGAGAGTGAAAACACACACACACACCTGAAAACTTTTAAGATTTAGTTTTTTAGTTACTTTGAAAAGAAATAATACCTAATAACTATTTATATACATACCTCTTATGAATTTACAATGGACTTATTCCTTGCACAGTGGCTGTGCTGTTTTTCTTACTACCAGAATATACTGGCTTTTAGTTTGTAATATATATTACTTTATAACTTATTAGCCTATCTGATAGAGTCATTTTTGACATTCAGCCACCGCAACATGATTATCATGCTCAGGCACAATAAATCAACCAGGGTCACTACAGAAATGAGATTCTATCAGTATTTCCCCGAATATAGGGGAAACAGTACTAATATCAGCAAAATTAATCTTTGAAGTAGCAGATTACTATGACCAAGCCAATTAGGAATTTAAAGTTTCATTGGTGATGATGGATTATTTAGGTGAAGCATTACAGAACAATGCTGAATTTAAAGATATGCAAATGTTCAGATTTTAACGAGTTTGGAATCAGGCCCTTCCCCTGATAAAGCTTGTAGTAAAGATGCATTTTGAAAATAGTTGATCAAGAATCACTTCAAAAAATAGATTCAAGGGGGCTGTTGGTGCAATAACTATTATACATAATGGAATAGGTTGTCACTTAATGTTGCGCTCATTAACACCTTGTGAAAAGTCATTTGAGCTGCTGCGCTGTAGAAAGATGTGTCAGCTCGTATTTAAAGCAGAGACAACATACTCCTAAATGGTTCTCAAATAACTCATAACTGCATCATGTAACAGACTGTTGCCTCTTACTCATCTACTGATCTTACCTTTGAAGGACTAGCAGGAGAATTTCAGGAACCTATTCTATGATGTCTAGCTCATTTGGCTGAATCAACACATTTCTCAATTTGTTCTGCTGTCTCTACTTCTCTCTCTCTCTCTCTTTTTGTGCCTCCAAATCAGTCATGACCTCTGATGACTACATGGACAAGTCCACACAATTTTCTCAGCAGCCTTTTTGGAACTGGTTGGCCATTGCCTTCTTCCTATGGCTAAGAGAAGACTGACCCAAAGTCACTCAGCTGGCTTTCTGCCTAAGGCAGGATTAGAACACACAAGCCTCTTGCCTCCCAGCCTAACACCTTACACCTTTAACCAATACCCCAAACTAGCTCTGAGTTCTCCCTCTAGATTCCCTCAAAAAGCTACTTTTATCACAACTTTTTAATAGAGTAAGTTTACCTATGCAATCAAGTATTCTATCTCCTAATATATTTAGTGACTTATATTATTAGTAGTACAGATGCATTACTATTTATTTATTTATTTATTTATTAATGGGGGGACTCTGGGCAGCTCACAACACATTAAAAACAATAAATAAATATACAATTAAAAGCCTATATCCACAGTTATAAAAGATGAAGGAAAAAGTCCAGGAGGCCAATGGTTCAGGGCAGCAACGCCCGGCCTCTAAGGGGCTAGCCAACTCCACAATTGATGGCTTCCCTCCCCACCCCCGGGCAGAAGGCAGAGCCAGGGCTTCAAATCCCTCCGAAAGGCCAGGAGTGA